CTGGAGGTTAAATTAATTTCTTAATTTAAATCTCCTCCCATAGATATTTAAGTCCAATCTAATAAAATCCAATCATGCTTATTCGATGGGACTTCACATGATTATTTTATTAATGGTCCTTATAATGCGCTTGAAGGTTAAATTAATTTCTTAATTTAAATCTCCTTCCATTCAACATAAGCAACATTTTCTAATTTCCAAGAATTATTTAATTGAGAGTATCCTTTGTTCGATTTCAAAAACTATATAAGTAAGAGTGCCGATAAACGTGCACTAAGCTTAACATAATTTTGAAAGCATTAAGGTCATGAAATCCGGTCACTTTACGTCAGCGTGTGCTCCAAACAATCATGATACATGAATGTTGTATGCAGCGTGTGTTATTCCATGACCATTTCAGAAAAACCCACAAATTACTCGCAAAATAAAAGAATTCTCTCAGGAAATTTTCTCTAATTATTTTTCTAGATTTAAATCATCCAAATAGCTGACTTAATTATTAATCTAGATTGCAACAATCATAATAATTATCATTTATGAGGATAATTTGAAATCAAAATAATTTCCATAACGATTATTTGTCTTGATGTTAATAATCCAAAATTAATTAATTCAATTATTAATCTAGATTTTAATAAAAATCATAATAATTATTAATTAATTTCTTAGGATAATTTAAAATCAAAATAATCCTATAATAACTATCATACTAGTCGCTGAAGACATAATAGCTATTATGCTCATGCAATCATACAAGTTATGCAACAATATGGCACCACCTATTCTATATGGCATGTTATCGCAATAAAGCATGTTATCTATCATATAATTTATACCAATCAATAAAAGCATTAAATAATAAATCATAATTACTTTAATCCATGGCCTTCCTATTTTAAAGAAAATAAAATAAAATAATACAACTTTGGAATTCAACTTTCGCCTAGCCCATAGTATCTGTCTCAAGCCCCTTTAGGGTTTCATGGGCCCAAAAGCCCAAAGACCCAATCCTTTGGCGAGAAACCCTAGGACGCGAAAGAGGAACCCTAGCCGTCAGGTCTGCCGCGCCGTCACCCGAACTCAAATCAGGCTGAAACTCCAGGGGAAGGACCACCACATAGAGACGAGTGCACCGCCGCCGGAACCACCCAAAAAGGTGGCCAGACGCTCTCTCACTCTCCCATTCTTTGCCGGAGAGTGGCGGCCACTCTCAGAAGCTTGTGGAGGCGCGTGGAGGAGCGTTAGGACTCCGATGGCGACTATCCACCCACCGTTGCGTTCGTCTTTCCGTCCTCTTTCCAACCATATATAGATCGCCTGATTCCGAGATCGGGAAGTCCTCGAAAAGTCTCCGACAGTACTGACTGCGCATCTTACTCGCGGTTTCTCGATCTTGAACTTTTACAAAATATTGGAAAAATACACAGAAATTCCGAAAATAAATAAAAACAGCAAGGAGGAAACCTAATCATATGGGATTAGCCTCCTTGTTACAAATCGAGAAATACACGAGAGACCCTAACCATGGATTAAAGCATTTTTATCGATTAAAATTTAAACTTTTATGAAAATGAATTATAAAATGCACATGCTAGATTCATACCATAATCCTAGAACCCTAGGTGCCACATTTCAAGAAGCAAAACTAATTACATGAATAGTGAAACTAGATTCACATACCAATGTACAGCCAAGGCTCTGATACCAATTGAAGGAAATCTTAGATTTATGCGGAAGCGGTTTAGGACCTAGTACATTGGTATGCTTACCGAATCATCATTGTTTCACAATTACCTCTCGGTGCGCAGGTCTCGTGTAGAATCTTCCCTTGTAGGATTCCTCTTCACGAACAGCTCACCTCAGCGCCGCAGCACGAACAACCTCCTTGAAGCTGGACTGTGGCAGATCTTCCAAACTATCTCTCGAGGAGGAAGGGGAAGTGTGTGGGCACTGATTAGATTCAGAGCTTGCCTCTTTCTCACAAAAAAGACCTTGGAGGCTGATGACTTAAGAGGTACTATTTATATGGGTTCCAAGAAACCCTAGCTCATTGGGCTCTAGGTTCCTTGGGCTCTTCTCATACTAATAACCCATTTGGGCTTTAGTAAAAGAGCAAACCCAACAATTACCAATAAGGAGGGTTTAATTGGTCTCACAGGATAAAGTCACGATCTCCAAATATGTATGGTTCTCTTGTTCATTACATACACTTCGATATGAATATAGAAAGTGAATCAACCATATAAAAGAAAACATGGAAACGTGGAGGTAAAGTCATGAAGATTTTCACAGGTTAAATAGAATTATATTATTTACTATTTACCAGTAACTTTGAAGGGTATAACTGATTGTAACTGCTGTTCTTCTATATCAACTAGGTGTTACTGTAAACTAGTCCTCTTATTTTGTGCTTCGCTGTAGTGACATGCGTGCCGTAGGATGTGAATTTTCATTGCCAAGCATCATATGAGATTTAATGGCAACTTAATATCGAAATATGAAAATGTTAACATATCCAAGAACTTTGTCAGATAAATTACATTTTTTTTCCTTTTTGAAAGTACTGTTTAAAGAAAACAAACTTCCCCTTCAATCTCATATGATGTCCTATATATATATATATATATATATATATATATATATATATATATATATATATATATATATATATAAAGATAAAGTTGTGTACAAATAATTGAGACATTAACCGTACTGTTCCATTTTTGAATATAATATACTTGAATTTCATGGAGTCGATTTTTTTCTTCAAACTGCCACGATATCGTAGTTGCTGAGGTAGTCAACTACTATGGACTAGATACATATCACGTCCCCAGAGGCGAGACACGCAACTCTTTCAACTCGAAGTCGCTACATAAGGTAGCTACTTTGGTGTTCTAGCCGCTTAGGAAGTGACATGTGTCGTGTCTATAGTAGCTGACTACCTTAGCGACTATGGTACCATGACACTTTGGAAAAAAAATTATGGTACCGTGACAGTTTGAAAAAAAATTTGACTCCATGACATTCAGGTATATTATATTCAAAAAGGGGTAGTACAGTCAATGTTCCCAAATAATTGTCTTTATCCCTATTCTCGCTAATCGAATTTATTGGGGAGTTATTTTTTTAATATGCGTATGTTCTGTCCTAAATTCAAATAAAGTTTTGGCCTATGTTCTGCAAGCAGCAATTTTCACTTGTAGCTAAATACATTGACCCTAATAGAGGGGGATATTCTGTCCTCAGGCTTTGATAAAACCCCAAAACTGCTAACTTGGCATTTTTAGTTATAATAGTAGCAAAACCAAGCTGTATGAAAGGGAAGGGTAAGCTGATCAATGTTTGCTTTATGAAAAGCTATTATTTGAGAAGAATTGTGCGTCTAACTTAACAACCATGGCACGAGAAGGGCTTCATCTATTGGGAGAGAAATTAATGTGGGGGTCCTTGGGCGAGTGTTATTTTATTCACCAAACATTTTGATATTAGGTATTGATAGAGTAACAATTAGAGGGAGGTTGTTGTAAATGTGTTACGGAAGCAAACCCTTTTCCTTCAATTTCCCCATATAAAAAAGAACATCATGGACTTTATCTTACTAAATGACACATGTTTTAGATCCACTTTATGTCATGTAAATTCAAAACGCAAGCCAAGATCACCAGCATTCTCCTTGAAATTCAAGCATCATGTAATCAAATGCTATTCTAACCGCAACTGCACTTTGAATGCGCTCTCTAAACTGCCTCGATCGGCTTCTTATGATCTTTCTGTTAAGCGTGAAAATAAATAAATAAATAAATTACAAATCTGTTCAAATCAAGGACTACACCATATAAATGGGACCCTAATGTGGGATTTTGATGTGATTGAATGACATTTGATTTACGTTTATTCCTACTTGAATTTAAACTCTGAAAATTTAATGTGCACTTAAAAACAGAGATTTAGGTGAATGATCTCTAACCATTAAACTAAAAAACAAAGATGTGAATTTGTTGAAACTGTGTACATTTTATTAAATATAGTTTTTTATTTTATGAAATTTAAATTTATTTAGCTTTTACCTCTCCAGTATTTTCTCTTTAAAACGGCACTATAAATTTGGAAAGAAAGAATTTCAATCGCTTCATTTTATTTTATTTTTTTATAATTTAGGCACCTACTCAATTTCTACATGTATCAAAATTTAGCTAATAATAATTCTTTTTTTTTTTTTTGATAACAATAATAATTCTTTTGAAAAATGTTGTTTATACAATTTAATTGAATTAAGATTATCGACGTAAGAGAAATGCTATTATGGTTTAGTAAGAAAATTATTACAAAAGATTATAGACCAACCATGGGAGATGTACAAACAAAAAGAAAACACGGTTTTGGAGTTCACAATACAATTATATTACGTCAGTGGCTCGTGTAAATTACACTGTTCGACTACAAAAATGCATAAGAAATTACACATAAATTTGGGCGATAAGATAACTGTGCAGTGCACACGTATTATTAAGGTAATTTTTCCTTTTTTATATAGCAATATTAAAAGAGAAAAAGTAATTATTGTAAGTACTATTGAACTTTTTGTATTTTCGAAACCAATATGTGTTACTTAAAGCCAAATTTGTAATAGTGGCTGAGGCTCATTATTTTAAACAAACTCCAAAGAGGAGGACAGAGTTGTAATTTTCGTGTATATTGGCGCTCAAGGGGTGCCAATGCTGAGCGTTCAGTGGGACCCACTAGAACAGCATCGATAGGGGCAGTTCTGGCATTTCAGGGAATTCTGTTAGGAAGTGTGTCGGAAACGGTTTTCCAGATTCGTTTTCTGAGTTTCCCCTCACAACACCAAATTACATTCCTTTACACCCTCCAACTATGGCGCACTATAAATGCCATGTCCTCACCCTCGCTCTCTCTCATTTCCATTTCTCTCTCTAAAACTCCCTCACAACACGCAAGCACTCTCTCTCTCTCTCTCTCTCTCTCTCTGGAGAAAAATGCATAATAAGGAGAATTGCTCGCCCTCCTCCAATGGCGGATTTGGCGCCACCGCCACCTGTCAAATGCAGTCAAACGGCGGCGTCTTCGATTCATTGTACTCATCGCTGTTCAGCGACGATCCGTCTCCTTCATCAGCCACCTGCAACAATGGCGGTGGCGTCTCGCTTCACCCGTACGAAGTCTTGAAATACACCACCGACTCGGGAATTCAGAAGCACCAGGACATGGTGAACCGCCACAGCATGTGCCTCAGCCGCCTCGTGGAAACTTCCAGGGAGCTCGAAGGCCTGCGAAAAGAGAACTTGCAGCTTCGCGATCTGAACCTGGTGCTGCAGAAGAGGCTGAGCCTCTTCATGCTGGAGAATCGATTCGGAAATACGACGCCGTTTGATCTTGCGCAGGGGTTCGGCGGCCTCGACATTGGTAAAGAGAACATGTACGCCGATTGGAACAATATTAATGAGAATAAGGAGCAGGAGGTTTTGGAAGATAGTCCAACTAGCGTGATTGAGAACAATGGTGTTGAAGTGGAGCGATTCTCTCTGCCAAAAAGCATATCTGTGAGGTCGAACGGTTACTTGAAGATGATGTCTCAGTGTATGGGTGCTGGTGTTGGTGCTGGTGCCAGCAATGGAAGTCGCACCAAGGGGACTACTCGCTCACGCATCTCATCGACTACTCCACCTGATGTTGTTGTAAGGATTTACTGTTTTTTATTTTATTTCATTTATTATTATTATTATTATTATTTTAAATTTAATCTTCTCTTCTTCTTTTGTGTGATGATTTGCTAGCTGTTAGCACTTTTTTTCTTACACACGAAGTAAAACCTAGCTTGTCAATTTCATTACCCGGTAGCTCAGCGAACTCTAGGGTAGTTTGTTTGTTTTACATATGCATGGCAAGGGTGCAATCTTCTTTCGTTGAAAGAGTTTGATTGACTATCAATTAAAATGATAAGTGACATCAAATTAACTTTTAAAAGATTAAGAGTTACGTCAATTTAGTCTTTTAAGAAATTAACATTAATTAATTCCTTAATAATAAAAATGACATAAACTTCATTAATTATAAAAAGTTGACATTAATTTAATCTCTCTAGTTTGTGCGGAAAAGGATAATTTTAGTATTAACTTCATCATTGATGAATTAAATTAATATTACTTATCTTTTTTTTTTTTTTTGATAACAATATTACTTATCTTTTAAAACCTGAGTCATATTAACATCAATTTACAAGTAGTAAACTCCCAAGTTTAGTATTGGATTCTTCTTTTTGTATTTAGTCTTGGTCAGTGTTGAGTTTCAATACAACCGTAAGGTCTGATTTCCTTTAGACACAAGAAATAACACAAATATATCAACAATTGTTGGTTTAAATGGTAAGATGTTTGTTTCCTTTAAGCATATGTGTTGAGATTGAGCATTGAGAATCGAGAAAAGAGTCTTGAGAGTATCCCTATATGGGTCTGACCATATTCGAAATGGATTAAGTGGAGTAATCAATTAACACAGAGATAAATTCAAAACAAATAGCACATATATGAATAGGAGAGATTGTACAATGTTATCAACTCTCGTATGTGTGAGTAACATAATTAAGTTGGGTCGCTCACTACTGTCTTCAATTTATATTTTTAATAAAAAACTTTTAGCATATGGAGAATTCACATGAATAATGTTGTACATGCCACTAATATATAAGAAATTTGTCTTAGAATATGTTGTTACTAGCATTACACCGCTTCCCCTGTTTCTTGTCCCTGATGCTTTGTAAGCTCAAAGTTTAATAGCCAGATGAAATTAACCATACTATGGGTTATGAAGGGACTCTTACCAATGCCAATTTGTAGTCAATTGAGTCAGCAGATTGACGGCACAGAACATGAAAATATAGAAGTTAAAGTTATCAATAGTGTTCTAGGGATTTGTATAATTTGGAAGTTGCTAAACTTATGGGAAGTGGATCCTCTTATTTCTCTCTTAACAGAGAGATAAACACAAATAATTCACATGACTTAATTATGTGAAATTTTAATAGGAGAGAATCTATTCTCAAATATGTCACCTTGATAAAAGAAATAATAATAAGAGAGATAAACACAAAATGTGAAATTTTAATTTGAAAGGATCTATTTCCAAACATATCTCACCTTGATGAAAGAAATAATAACAATAATAATAACTTATTTTAGTACTAACAGATTTTGTAATTGGAAAACTTACGTACTGCTGATAGCTCGAGTACCCTGTAACTAAAAAAATAAGGGATTGAGCGTCATCACGAAAATCATTTGAGAATGGAATACAGCTATATGGTTGAAGACTGCAAAAACAACATTTGATTATAATGCATGAATGACATCTTGATTTGATTGTTGCCATCCATAAGGAAAAAGGGGGCCGAAGGTTGGAGGAGTAGGGGAAGGGCGGGGATCTCTATTAATTAATTAATATGTTTGGTTACAGTTATTGAAATTTTGCGGATGTTGATATGCTACAGCAAAAGGTACATGTGCGTGGAGGGAATAAGGAGGAAGAGCCTCTTGAGATGGTGGTGTATAATCAAGGAATGTTCAAGACAGAGCTGTGTAACAAATGGCAGCAGACTGGGACATGCCCATACGGTGACCATTGCCAATTTTCTCACGGTATTGGGGAGCTCCGCCCAGTCATCCGCCACCCACGCTACAAAACTGAGGTCTGCAGGATGGTCCTTGCTGGGGTTGTATGTCCATATGGCCATAGATGTCATTTCCGCCATGCTCTCACTGAAGAAGAGAAAGCCATAGCAGAGAGTAAGCCCAGATAAAGAAGACATAATCAGTTCAGAGCTATTGATAACATTGGTAAAGTTTGGTGGAGTAAATAGAGATAAAACATATCACTCAAATGAAATAATACGATATAATAATCTTGATTGTGTAATTACAGACATGAACAAGCAAGAGATAAAAGCTACTTTCATAATCTAGAGAAAGAAAAACAAACTAGGAGGCTTGCAGCAAAGTGAGATGTAGAGCATAATTCTTGCGGAGAATATGGTTTGTGTCATATCTGTCTTCTTTTTTCCCCTCTTAATATGAGATTTTGAATATGATTGGTTGTTATTGTTGTTTTCTTGACATCTGCGTTCGGAACTTGATTATTAGTCAAATTTTAACCTCGCTAACCAATATATGATAGCTGCGTAGCAAGGTAATAAGCAAGGGACACTCGCAGGGATTGGGTCTAATAATCCGATTTTTATGACAGATAAACAATATATCATGAAAAAAGAAAAAAACTGAAGTTGCAAACAAACTGAATTTTGAAGGGATTTGGATCTCTCTGTGTAAAAAAGATATGTTATTTGATTTATAGACACTCATTTAAAAATTATATATTTCTCTCCCTCTTATTTGTCAATGAATAATTGTGATCAAATAATATAACTGCACTTTTTCAAAGATCTAAATCCATTTTTGGAAGAGGGAAAATAATGATAATAAATGAGTTAAAGGTCATATTCCAGCACTAGGCTTACGAGAGTAATTGTTTTCAATACTTCCTAAATCTTAATTGAACCTATCAACGGTAAGCCTTGTTATCCCAAACTTTCCATAATTTATCGTTAGATACAACAACTCTCAATCTAATTATTAAACAACTGAGAACAAGCCCTCTATTTTTAACACTTTGATTGTAAAAAAGAAACAAAAATTCTTTAAATTCTTGATTTAGTTTGATTTGTTTCACTTATTCTACCTTTTACCCTTTTTCAATTAATAAAAATTAACAAATCCACACTTATGCTTATTTTATAAATATTGACGTGTCTTTAAAAGATCTTGTTTGGCGGCTCCATTTTCTTTTTTGAAAAATTAAAAAAAAAAATCAGTCTCCTAATTGCGACCTCAGTGGTGAACAAGACAAATGTTTATAGATTTTGTCACTAAAATTTGGAATTTGAAACTCATTATCCATCACCTTGAAATATCCAAATCTTAATGAACGTAATTAATTAAAGGAATTAGTAATCAAATAAAAAGCTTGATCTTTTCAAAACTTATATTTTATCAAGCTACATAGATTGTAATCCCTTGCCTTCAGAAGTTATGCTCGCAAATCTTATTATCAGTTACTGATGTTTTGTACTACTTTATAAATCCTGTTCTGGATGGCCCGAATACTGGGGCGGCCCAACTACACAGGCCCAACCCTCAGCTGGCCCAATCACTCAAGCTCAGCCTCAGCCTTGCCCCACGTCAGCCCTTAGGGCTGACATGGACCCCCTCAACCCCCAACGTAGCAGCAAGCCCAAGGCATACACCAAAATGTCCCATCTTGGAACACTAACCGTTGAAGGCGACTACGACAGAAACCACAAAGGGAAACTCCCCCTTTGCCCGGCGCTGACACCGCCAGAGTGCAGAGGGCGCAGCACTGCCACAATGACAGCGCCAGCACGCCTAACACTGCACCATGGGAGTAAATCCCAAGGAGAGTTGACCTCTGCCTCACCAACCCGCTCCATTTCCCTTATAAATAGCCCTCCTGGGCACACCTTAGAGGTATCTTTTATGTACTGTTATTATGCCCATTTACTTCCAAGCCATTATCTTGTTGTTAATCTGCCATTGCTATTAGCTTGCTTGCCTCTTGGAACTATACCTACTAGTCTGGTCATTACCTCGCCTAGTGGTATAATCCATATAGTAACGTTACTCTATAGGGTACATAGTGGGCTCACAGAACCTAACGGTACATTGTGAGCGGTTACGCAAATCACACTAGTCTCATACAGACACGTGTAAGTAACCCTCACTTAATCGTTCGATGGCATGCTCATCGTGGGATGAGCGGTTACGCAAATCACACTAGTCTCACACAGACGCGTATAAGTAACCCTCACTTAACCGTGCGATGGCATGCTCATCGTGTGATGAGCGGTTAAGGAGAGGGGGCAAAACGGTCATTTCAAAGGGACAAATCACGAGTCGCGTCGCATTAATGCGCCGAACCCTATGACGCTTGGATGCCTGCAGTAAATAGTAATGATGGGATAACGCATCATTACGGCTCCTCGGAAACCGAAAAGCCTCTTAAAGTACCTTTAAGAGGCAGCTTTCCGTTTCCATCACCTACCAATCCCCGTCATCAATGACCGTAGGACAGTTATCACCAAGAGCAATCGCCCGTGCTCAAGCATTTCACATCGCCAAACGATGGGTCGCCAAGCATTTCACATCGCCAAACGATGGGTCGCCAAATCCTATCTACCAAGGCGCCAACTTATACCCATAAAGCACCAGTAACTCCCCCTTGAAGGACGCACACCGCCCTGACAAGAACGTCCGGAGTCTTTAACTTGGCACCACCCCACGGCTGCTACCAAGCTGGGGGGCTCCTGTTCTGGATGGCCCGAATACTGGGGCGGCCCAACTACACAGGCCCAACCCTCAGCTGACCCAATCACTCAAGCCCAGCCTCAGCCTTGCCCCACGTCAGCCCTTAGGGCTGGCATGGACCCCCTCAACCCCCAACGTAGCAGCAGGCCCAAGGCATACACCAAAATGTCCCATCTTGGAACGCTAACCGTTAAAGGCAACTACGACAGAAACCACAAAGGGAAACTCCCCCTTTGCCCGGCGCTGACACCGCCAGAGTGCAGAGGGCGCAGCACTGCCACAATAACAGCGCCAGCACGCCTAACACTGCACCACGGGAGTAAATCCCAAGGAGAGTTGACCTCTCCCTCACCAACCCGCTCCATTTACCTTATAAATAGCCCTCCTGGGCACACCTCAGAGGTATCTTTTATGTACTATTGTTATGCCCATTTACTTCCAAGTCATTCTCTTGTTATTAATCTGCCATTGCTATTAGCTTGCTTGCCTCTTGGAACTATACCTACTAGTCTGGTCATTACCTCGCCTAGTGGTATAATCCATATAGTAACGTTACCCTATAGGGTACATAGTGGGCTCACAGAACCTAACGGTACATTGGCGCCGTCTGTGGGAAACTATAAACTTCTATTCCCATTCTCCTACCAAAGATCCACAAGACGTGTTTTACGTTTTGGTAACAAACATGGTCGTCACAACCAGAAGAGCAGAACAAACCAGGGCTGTTACACCTGACGGTCATGTACAAACAATACATTCAAACTCCCCGCCATCGATGCATTCAGCCCCAGCCGAGAGACCCCCCGGCGAGATGCTCCAGCCAGTACTACAATCTGTCGGTCCACAAATGCAAGCAGTCGAACCCAGGATAGCACAGTTGAACTATCACGCACCTATGCGTGAAATGCAAGGAGAAAACTTGATACAAGACCAACCCCCGCCACCAGGAGTTCGTTTTGGAATGCCTCTTCACACTTTTGCCCCACCAGTCATTCCCGTCCCACGAGCCCATCATCCACTACCAGCCCAAAGTCTACCAGTAGCCATGCACAATGATTACCGAGCACCGATGGTCACCCCGTTCCCTATGGGACCATACGCCCCATTCCCTCAGCTTTACCCAACTGGTTTTCCTTTCCAAGGTTACGCTGCCCAACCCCAAAATCCGGCTGTTCCACTACACCAAGTGTCCTATCAAAACCAGGGTCAGCAACCATATGCCGCCCAACAACCTTTCAATCAAGCCCCAGCCCTCTCCTACTCCGTTGAAGCTCCTCAACCGCAAACGGACCGGCCCCCCGAAACAACAACCTACGAGTCACGCCAGCTCATACGTCAGGGCGCAACAAACCCCTGACTGATATCCTCCGGTTAACTCCCATACCCCTTGGTTTCAAAGGACCCTCCAATATCACCACATATGTCGGAGATGCCGATCCTTTTGAATGGATCCAGAAGTTTGAGGCGGCCATGACTCTCCATGGTGAAACCGACCTCCTCATGTGCAGGACCTTCCCCACGCTACTTGGGGGACGAGCCTTAACATGGTACACTACTCTACCGACTGGTAGTATCGCTTCATGGGATGAGTTGGCGAGCAAGTTTCAGTCTCACTTTGCAACCAGTCGCCCTGTGCCGAAATCCGTCCACTCTCTAGAAAAAGTACGCCAACAGCAAGGCGAGTCCCTCAGGTCCTTTTTAGACCGCTTTGATAAGGAGGCCCTACAAGTGCAAGGCCTGGACCCAAAAGTACAGGTACATATACTTCTTTCGGGTTTGCGGCAAGGTGCGTTCGCGTACGAGCTCGCCCGCCACGAGATCACTGACCTGGAAGAAGTCAAGAGGGTGGCCCAGGAGTACATGCGAATCGAAGAGTACAAAGGAAGTCGAGTCGAGGACGCCCACGGTCAAGAAAAGGCACTCGGTAAACAAAAGAACCAAATGGAAGAGAGTAAGAAAGGAAATAAACCAGCCAAATATTCAAACCGCCCTCCCGGGCGTGATACATCAGGTCGTCAGACACACGCCGTCCTGCAAACGGAGTATAAGGAAGAATCCAAGAACACCCAACAGTCTCAGAACCCGCCTAAAGAAAACATCATGTACTGCAAGTTCCATCGCAGCAACGGTCATAACACTGACCAGTGCAGGCACCTCAAAGACGAAATCGATGAACTCATCAAAAGCGGAGTGCAGAGGCGAGGAGGAGACGGCTCACGCCCTTCGGGAGCAGGGAGGCGATATCGAGAGCGCAGCAAATCGCCTGAAAGAAGGAGAACGCGTCAACCTGGATCCAGACCCTCCTACAATCGTGACAGGAGAGAAGATTCCCCCAGGAATCACAGAGCGCAAGCAAGTCCAAACCGTAGAGGAAGGCGTGAAGAAGTAGACGAAGATTCAGCCGCGGTGAAGCACGGAGTGA